ACCTTTTGGAGTTAAAGTTTAGTTTAGTACAGACTGAAAATGCCAGGACTAGGGCTGAATGATTGATTGTTTGGACCAAAAATCGCGATTTCAGACAACACAATTTTGAGAGTGTCAAAGCCGTGTTTTTTTGCGGTGCTCCCAAAGCGAATTTAAGGGCGAAGTATAGTTCTGCGTCGACTCAATGCTGTGTCGCTATTGTTTTTGATTTTTGGATCTGCATCGAGGTCTACGCACCACATAGTAACTCACCACCACAGCATTAGGAGCTGAGGATTTAAACCTTGCGTTCATGTAAGGGTTTAATAGATAGAAGCACAGAACAGACTCACCATCACCAGCACATCTTCTGTCACAGAAAGAACACACATATTCCACTGAGTTGTGTCCTTCAGTTTGACAGAAGCTGACCACATCAGTGCACAAGGAGTGAGCTGTTTTTTTCAGCGCTTATAGTTTATACAAATGAGCCATGTGGTTTTAAGTTTTGTTTCTGTAAAACGTAAACAAATGTGCGCAAAGCTTAATTAAACACATTATTTTTCAATGTATATTGAAAGAAAGGAAAGCGGAGTGCAGGAAATATATGTAGAGCGGTGGTAGAGAGGACCAATCACAGCCCACACTAAAGTGGGCTTTACGATCCAGCGTCAAATCGTTGGTGCAGGACTCTGGTATGATGTAAGTTTCTGTGATGTTTGCAAATGTTCATGTGCACTGAAACTTCATTTGAAAAAAATGAAATCGAAATCACAATATCTGCCAGAAAAATCACAATTTAATTTTTTCTTTCAATCGTTCCTAGCCAGGACTAAAATCATCAATAGACTCTAGTGGAGGTGTATGGAGTTTGAAAACAAAGTGGAGCACTTCCTGTGTTACCACATGACATCACAAGGTGGAACAGAGTATTTTTTTGTTCGAGAGAAGAACTCTGCAATATGTGTAATGAAACAAAACACAAGTCCAGGTATGTTTGTGATGATTGAAACAACATCATAAGACAGATCAGAAAATAGCATAATATGGGCCCTTTAAGTGATCCAATGTTCTGCCGGTTAGATGGACTTATTCACAGAAATCTAATAGCTGTTGTTCGCAGTATTTGTTGACAGTTATTGAAAATGTATTTTAGGCAGAACCAATTTCTATGTCAGTTATAATGTTATTTATAAAGTATGTCACTAAAGATAAAATGGAAATCAACAGAACAGAACTGTTATTCACAATCTGAAGCGCCCTCATTTAACTTCCCCTTTTATTTTTCTAATAACAAAAGCTATTTTTAGATTTCTCCAAATGTGACTCAGGCTCGGCCATTGGGGAAAAGACAACAATGAGAAGGTGACGTGTTACACCGTTTAAAGGGGCACTACGCAACTTTTTGGTCCATAGTGCGCTATTTCTTACCTATGTCATAATGTTGTTTCCTCATCACAAACAGACATGGAGTTGTGTTTTGTTCCGTTCACGCATGTTTAACACACAAACCCTGCAGATTTAGGCTGAGTTCTCTCAAAATGAAACAATCTGTTCCACTTTGTGATGTCATGTGGTGATACACGAAATGCTATTTTTTTAAAACTCCATACACCTTCACTAGAATAGGCCCTATTCACGCTTACGTCACAAACCAGGAAGATTTTTAGAGAGATGCGATTAATGCAAAAAAAAAACCACTGAAGTAAATGTGATCAGTGGTAAAATGAAGACTGCATACATATGTGATGTCGAGAATCATCTTGAATTTGGCGCCTTGTCTCTTCTAATCGCATGTACCCAGTGCACTCGGAGTTGGGTGTCAGTGGGGAAATGATGAAAACTGAGGTATGGTTGTTGATTAGACAAACATAATAGAACACTACAATGACATGGAGATCAAGAAAACTTGGCCATTTTCAATTTTTTTTTTTTTTAGAATAGGGCCCAGCAGAAGTTGTAATCACTTTTTTGGTTGCAATTTGTGATGTAAGCATGAATACAGCCTATCATTTGGTTGACTTCAGCTCAGGATTTGGCAATCTAAACTAACTTAAAGATAAACGTAGCTGTTAATTTGACTATATTACATATAGTAGGATAGGATTAGCATTTGACAAAATGAGAGTAGAACTAAATATATTTTTTTTCCATCTTTTGTGCTGTCAGAACACATTGAAATGAGAGTGGGTCGATACAGAACTATACCAGTGACAATCTTCAAAAATTTGTCAGAAAATGTCTGCAAATGTTGAGATGATGAGGGAGTTTCAAGCCCCAACAAAATGAATACAGTGAACACAGTTTAAAAAATACTCCAAACTGCAAAAACTAAAATCTTAAGATTACTTGAAATAAAAAGGTTTTAGCATGATTTGAGTAAATTTCACTTAAAAAGTATCTACCAATGGATCAAGACTTTTTGTACTTAAAATATGAAAATACATCTTGCTACATTTAAGACAAGAAAAACAACAACTTTTTGCACAAAATCTAATGTTGCTTGAATTAAGAAAAACACTCTTATTCCATTGATAGATAGTTTTACTTGTCAAGTTGTGTCTACTTAAATAAAGTATAATGTTCTTAATTTAAGCCATCTAACCTTACATAGATATTATTTTTTGAAGAGCAGAAATTACATTAAATACCTTCAAATATCTCAAATAATTGTTGTATTTCTTTACATATATGTCTCACCTCTAGTTGAAAAACCACATCTGGGTTTTTTCTTTTGGTTGGGAATCCCCAGGCCGGCAGCTTTAGTGTCATGTGCGTGTCCTCCCTGAGCTCTTGTAGCTGATGTGTCCCTGGGCCACTGGGAACCCTCTGGAGCAGTGGTGGAGCTGTCCATCATACTCCACATATCAGCTGGACCCGTGAGAGACAGAGAGAGAGAAAGAGAGAGATAGAGGTGAAGAGCAGGTAGCCCCCCTCCTCCTCCTCAATGTCACGGGGTCAACCTGCTGTATGTACACACACTCCCCCCCTGACCCCGCAGAGAGCACCAGTCACATCGTTCAGACCGCTGTCCATCACCATGACGACGGGAGGACACGTCAGACCTCCGTCCATCACCATGACGACGGGGGGACAGGACAACAACACCTCCAGACCTGCGCACGGGGCTCCAGGAAACAGCCCGGAGCAGGAGATGGCTCACACGCTCGGCTCACTCTCTGCACACACTGCCCACTCTCTGCACTCTCTCTCCGCTCGACACACTCTTTGCGGTTGGCACACTTTTGGCACACTCTTTGCACCAGGGGTCTCCAACCTGTAGCTCCGGAGCTCCTCACCCCTACCAAATAGCTTGCCAAGGGATTTTTGAATTATAGATATGGTGCTGAACTACAAAAATGTCATTACCATATTTTTTTGACTATATGGCGCACTTAAAATCATTTAATTGCACCTTGTGTTCTGTTGTGCTTACTGACCTCGAAGCGATTTTATGTTGTACACTGTGCTCAAAAATCTGTCAAAATGTTTTAGTACGACTTTGGTAAACTACGAAGCTGCACCGCTTGATGGATTGTCGCAACATTACGGCTACTGTAGTCAGGAGCCTCGTGGAGTTAGTCCAACAGAAGCTGAACGAATCAGAGCACAAGGAGCGAGCTTATAGTTTATGCAAATGAGCCATGTGGTTTTAAGTTTTGTTTCTGTAAAAACAAAACAAATGTGCACAAAGCTGCATTAAACACATTATTACTCCATGTATATTTGAGTCGTCCTCGTAGGAAATAATAAAACAAACTTAAATGATCCACCCACATTCACATTCATAATACACATTCACCAAGACAGGGAGGTAACACCGGGCGAATTACACCACGATCTGTCAATGGGTCGTGGACGCCTGGGCTAAGGATCAGTCTCAAGTGTCGCCTTTTGTTTCGCTTAATGCACCTTATAATCCACTGCACCTTATGTATGAAAATAGACAAGAGAATTCAACATTATTGATATTGCGCCTTATAATCCAGAGTGCCTTATAGTCCTAAAAATACAAAAATTAAATTTCTACCATTGTACATGTATAACTTTGATGCCTTTAACTTTGTGCACTAATAATTGGATAATGGCTTATGTTTATAGGCATTTAACTGTACCCCATCTAAGACTTGCCACGGCTCTTACATTTTACTGAATTTCTTGCGACCAGTAAAAGTAGTAGCATCCTGGCATTTTCACTTTGTAAAGGTGTCTCACCTCAGTGTGCTCTACACACTACACACTCTGCACTTGGGACACTCTGCACACTCTCTGCACTCAACATACATGCTACACATTCTCTGCACTCGGCCCACGCAGCATACACTATTTGCATGCTGCACTCTCTTTACTTTCTGCACTCGGCACAATTTCTGCACACTCTGCACTCAATACACATACTACACACTCTGTACACTCTTCCCCACACTCTCTGCACTCTACACACTCTCTGCACACACTCTCAGAACCCTGCACACTCTGAGCACATGCTTTGCACTTTGCACATGAACCATGTTTTAAAATGCCTATTGCTTTCATTAGTGCGCTGTGCTCCCACGGCTTTTTGAGGGCGAGTGGATGAGGAGGAGAGGAGAGGGCCGTGCAGACAGATGGGCCCTGCGTGACACGGGGCCTCCAGCAGAGCCAAAATCAATGCTCAACTGCAAAACACAGAAATTAATAATTATATGATCACAAGATTGCTTTGCATTGCCTGTGCAATCTAATTAATAGCTGTTTTGTTTGGAGCTCACTGGAGCGGGAAGGGCTGAGACAAGGCTCTATTGTTAGAAAGGTGCCACACTATGATCTCTTCTAAGGTTTAGGACTACTTTTTAGAACTGTGTGAATTAAGTGCACTGTGTTCTTTCACATATGCAAATATAATGTCAAAACTTTGGGAGGGATTTTAAAACTAGTTTTATGGTTGGAGACATTTCTCTGAGCAGTACTGTGTGCTTGCACCTAGTTCGCTGTTTAATTAAGTGTTGTTTAAACTAAACCCTGTGTCTGTGTGTCTGCAGATGTGTCGGACGGGCTGCTGGAGGTGGTGGGTCTGGAGGGGGCCATGGAGATGGGTCAGATCTACACTGGTCTGAAGAGCGCAGGGAGACGCTTGGCCCAATGCTCCTCTGTCACCATCAGGTCTGTGCACTGCTCTGTGTAGATCTGCGGGTTCAAGACTATAACATGTACAAAGATTCAACTGAAGTCATTTGTGTGTTTTGCAGAACCAGTAAGTCCCTGCCCATGCAGATTGATGGAGAGCCCTGGATGCAGACTCCCTGCACTGTAAGTTTCTCCTCACTCTATGTCCCATTCACATCTCAAGACATCATGATAAAGACTATGTGTGCTCATTTACAGCCCAGTCACATCACAGCCATAGAACTTTCCTTGCACAGAAAGATGGTTTCTCACGATAGTTCTGAGTTCAGAAACTCAAAACAAGAATCCATCTTAGTGCCTGTTGGTGTGATAGAGCTCGATAGGTGGTGGGCGACCAATCACGTTGCAGTTATAGAGCTATAATAAAATTTGGAAGGTGAACCCAAGATGGCATCATATTGGTTTCAGTGGCCTGTGCTCATTAGCGCATGGGTCCAAAAATCATTTTCTCTTCTGCATCACTTCCTCAATACGGGCTAGCCCCTCCCATCAATGTGATGTTTGTAACACGGCGTGGAGCGTTTGGACCAATCAGAGTGAGAGCTGCTAGAGCAGAGCTAGCAGAAAAAGGCTAGACTAAGTCTTACAATGTTAACTTTTAGGATTGAGGTTTTTAAAAAACTTTTAAGTTTAAGCCGTGAAAATCGAAAAGAATCCCTACAAAATCTGACCTTTGTGAAAGTTGTTGATGCCCTGTCAGCCGAATATGGGCAGTTTGAATTTCCCAAAAAAATACATTGTGTTTTTATGGGAGAATACTTTTTGGGTCCAAGCTCCCGGGAACTTCAGTACCAATGAAGCAGCCACTAGTCAGTCTCGAGCCGGAACAGACGGGGAATGTCTTATCCACTTTTTACTATATAGATCCATGGTCGCAGCACTGAGATTTGAGCTGAAGCAAAAGGCAAAGCACCCAAACGAACCAAAACAAACATGGCGACACCAACAGTTACATTTCATCCTTTTTTAGCATCAATACGGATTGACACAAGCAATATTGTGTTTGTGAAAAATGTAATAGACTGAGGCAGATTTTGAATATTTTGCACAAATAACACAATTAGTACTGTGCAATGTAGACCCTTTAAATCTGAACAAAAACTAATCTCGATCACAACGTTTGTCGATCTTTATGTAAATGACACCAGCACTGAGCCGGTTGTCAGATTCTATTGTGTTACCTGGGCCCTACTTTTCACAACATCCCCGATCCCACCTCACACCCTCCCCGTGCTCCGGAGTGTCTGCACCTGCTCCAAATATTTTTACAAACTCCACTGGGCTGATTATGGGTATGTGTGCTTATAATTACCACCCTGCAGACTCAAGCCCTCAACTCATTTCATTTCCATATAGATCACAGCTCCAATCCCGCGCGCAACCAAAACAAGGGCCCGGCAAGTGCTCTCACGCGGGCTAGCACCGACTCCGCCGCCGGGCTAACCTCGCGCCGCACAACACCCTGATTGTGTCTCCGCGGTCTCCATGGCGACCCGCTCCTACTGTACGTCAGATCTGAAAACATCACAGCTCTGACGGGATGTTAGCGGCGCACCAATTATTAGAAACAACAAGTATGCAAATGAGGAGAGCTGCGCCGCATCCATGACATATTTAACACCTGTTTGCATTTGGGGGTAAAGTGTAAGGCGTGGTACTGTCGTAAGTCGGCTGGTACTTTGGGGCGACGCCACGCTGGGGGTGTTCTACGTGTAGCTGTATGGTGGAATGTTCAGGTGTTAAGCATGCATTGGCAAACGCAGTCAAAAAGTTGTAAGACTGTAAGAAAAAAATACAAAATGGATTTAAACAACAGATTTTCAAGATCAATATCCTGTTGAGGTGTTTGATTAGGGTGACCAGAATTTCAAAATAATAAAAAAAATAATAAAAAACATGGGACATACACATTTTTTGGCGGTTGGTAATAATAAAATTGTGAAACGAGTACGTAATTCAGGAAAATTGTTGTGCAGAGACCATTCATGATGAACATGTGAGTCAGTATAGTCACATTTTCTTCATGTTTTGGTCATTTTTAAGCAGCTTTTCTGTACTTTACCGAAACAAATTACAATGTATGCCTCTCTTTACTGTTGACAGGTACAAGGGGCCAGAGGGACCATTCACAAACAGTGGGGGGACACCACATGACCCAAACTTTAAAAAATATTTCTTGTAAATTTATATATTATTCAGTTGAAAATGTTAAATGGCCATACATATCTTGTGAAAAACAGTCATCGAAGCAGCTATGAAATCTATTCATAAGTCGCCTGTTTGGACATTAAATGTAGAACATTTCTTTTTCTTTTCAACATTCAATTGAACCAGCAACACTGGAACAAAATAGTCTGTAGAACTGTATCTTGCAGACCTACATGCAAATTGTGACAAGGCAACCCCCAAAACATTTCTTGTCTTCCCTTCCCTTGACCCAGTCTTTGGGAAACAATGGTTTATGCGATACATTGACATTTTCACAGTTTTGTATAAAATGGGTATTTTTCATATGAATTTACTGGTTTAACAAAGACTTTTAGTATCACGGTCATGATTTAAATTTTTTTTTACTGAACCATACCAAATCATTTTGAAATATATCATATCGAATTGTATTGAATCGAAAGTGCACTGTATCAAAAAACTGTATAGTATCGTGGCTTATGTATCAAGGTATGTATCTTATCGGCAACTTCTGAATGATAACTAACCCTAGGCATAAATTGACATGTTTATGAAAAATACAAAAAAGCTGCTTAAAAATGACCAAAACACAAAGAAAATGTATATTGAGTCATGTTAGAATAAGTCATGAATGGGCCAAGTGCAGAACAATTCCTCTTAATTATACATTTGTTTCATAATTTAAAGGGATAGTTCAGAATTTTGGACATAGGACCTCATTTCTTAGTTAACCAGAGTGTTGAAGACGTGTGGAGACACTTTTTAAAATATTCCATCCAGTCCTTGTATTTGCAGAGGTCGCTGGTGCTAGGCTAGTGCATGTCAATGGCCATAGTTATCAGAATAATTTTAGAAATAAAACCAACCTTGCATTTGAAGGATTTATGTCTGAGCAGCAGCAGCAGCAGCGAGTTGTACTTCCTGATAGAAAGCTTGGCAACGGCGGATTGATATATAAGAAAATAGTCCCTCAATATACGACAATTCATGCGATGCAAGGTTTGTTGTATTTCAAACATTATTCTATCGACAGAGACATTTACATGGACAGTCTGGTGTAATAATAGATTTGTTTTGGGGGTTTTGTGGAGTGGGTAAGACTGTTTTTAGTGGCAGGATAACTATGGCCATTGACATGCACTAGCCTAGCACCAGCGACCTCTGCAAATACAAGGACTGGATGGGATATTTTTAAAAAGTGTCTCCAAACGTCTCCAACACTCTGACTCACTAGGAAATTAGGTCCTATGTCCAAAATTCCAAACTGTCCCTTTAATTATTACTAACTACTTCAAACCGAGTGCCCCAGTTTTTGATTTTGAAATTCTGGCCACTCTATTCTTGTATGAGAATCATCGAACTCGCTGTTAGCATGCTAGTTATGAGCATTAGCCTCACTGCAAACTCCACTTTTGTCTCTGAAAGTTGTGAAAATTCACATTTTAAGACACTGAAAAATATCCATTCGTTTTATTTATTAATCCACTGCTCATTTCTAGTCAGAATATCTATGACTAAAACACTCTTCTAGTCATTGTTGTTTTGTGTGGTGTTTCGTGCACAGATGTCGTGTCTGTGGCGTGCGTTATCAATCACATGAGGAATATTTAGCCCATATAATCTGGTAATTGCTCTTCAGTCAAAGTCCATGTTCCCAAATGACAGCAGCTCCACAGTGAAGCCTGGTGCTACAGATGGGGCGCTTCCTGTCTCCATTATACCGCTCTGAACTGTGTACTATTATGTCAAGACACATGTTTGATGTTTGTTATTCTCCAGTTATCACCCATCAACAGAATTAATAGAATCTCTGCAAAACTCAATATTTGGCTTGTATTAGAGATGTATTAACACCCGAAATGGAAAATAGTTAGCACAAAAGACGATTTTGGAAAAGCGGTCTGTCTGCTTTTAGAATGTTACAGTGTTATTGTCACACACGATGCTACGAAATAGTCACTAACTCTCGCTGTATGTGATTTTTACTCTCTTAATATGTGAAAAACAGATTTACAGTCGTGCAAAGTTATTCCTCACTTACCTTTTGCATTCCGAGCATCTTAATTATGAGGTTATAAGACTTTTTTTAACCAATCTCAGAGACAAGAGTAGAGTTTTGCTGCAATAACTAGCATTCTAACTGCACACTTCAACACTTCTTGACATCACAAGGTGGAGCAGAGTATTTTGAGCTTTGCAGATGTAGACAGACTAACATAAGGTAACTCAAACATGTGTGAATGAAACAAAACACAACTCAAGCAGGGCTGGGCGTCATTACGAAGTTGCCAATACGATACATATCTCGATACATATGCCATGATGCGATACATATCTCGATACATATGCCACGATGCGATAGATATCTCGATACATATGCCCTGATATAATACATATCTCAATACATATGCCACGTTACGATACATATCTCGATGCATATGCCATGATGCGATACATATCTCGAGACATATGTCCCGATACGATACATATCTCGATACAGTGAGATTTCGGTTCAGAGTTCATATGAAACTCACCCATTTTAATCCTCGAAACAGTGAAAATGTCAAATGTGTTGCATAAAAAAGTTTCCTTCGTCCAAACAAGCAACAAAGCTGTAGCGCGGTAACAACATCATTTTGTAAAATACACTTCTGAAAAAGTTTTAGAACACCACATTTTGTCCATTTTTTTACTGTTTACTACTGATCAAAACTATTTCTAAACTTTTGATTGATTGAGTGTCCACCTTTGGCAGATGTAACAGCTGAACACACTCGTGGCTCGTTCTTTTTACAACAGAAATCAAATATTGTTCAGAAAGTTCTTCCCAAGTCTGTTGCAGAAGTTTCCATAAATGTGTGGCACTTGTAGGTTGCTTCACTCTTCTGTCCAGTTCATCCCAAACCAGCTCCATGGGGTTTAAGTCTGGACACTGTGCTGCTGGACACTCCATGTTTTCAAGCTTTACCATCTTGTTATTTTTTCCTGAGGTAGTTTTGGCAGAGCTTGGACTTGTGTTTTGTCCTTTTATCTTTTTTTTAACCTCTGTCTGTTCAGTTCTTACCTTTGTATCATTTCAAGCTCTTCACTGGACTTGCATGACTTGAAATTGCAATAAAAAAATTGAAAATTTGGGTGTTCTAAAACTTTTGACCGGTAGTGTGTACCAAAAAATACTCTTGACGATGAATCGATACAGCAGCCCACGTTATCGATACTGTACCATCACATTATATATCAATATTTAGATAATTTTGCACACTGCTAAACTCAAGGTATGCTTTTGAGGAAGGAACTACATTGTGCGTCAAAATGTGTTACTGTGACAAACCTAACTGACTGATTCTTTTTGCTTGATTCTCCTACAGATCGAGATCGTGCACAAGAACCAGGCCCCGATGCTGATGGGCCCCCCCCACAGCCGCAGCTTCTTCTCCTCCATCCTGCGCCGCACACGCAGCGAGAGCAAAGACTGACCCGACCCACTACGCCACTCTGACCTAACTCTGAGCTAACCTTAGCCCAGCCACGGACAACCATTTACCCCGAGAGAGGGAGGGGAGCGGCCGCCCACGCCGCCCCGCCGACAGGGAGCCGAATGTGGGCACCTCTGAGGAGAGAGGACCCCGCCCTGGGAGTGAGAGGAGGGGCACTGCCGGCCGACGCTTGACCCAGTCTTGTTTACCTGCTACATCGCTGTTACCAACCTTTTATATAAGCTTGTGATTTGTGCCAGGTGGAGCCAACCCACCCACGCTAAAGAATGTTTACAAGAGCTAAAATGACGCGCACTCAGAATATTCACCTCATATTCACTATTTACTTAGTATTAAAGGGCCTATATTACTTCAAATTTACTTCATCAAAAACAGACCTGGAGTTGTGTTTTGTTTCATTCACACATGCTTGAGTAACACTTTCTTCTTATTATTATTATTCTGTCTGCATTTCCAAACCTTGCGATGTCATGAAACAGTAGTTTTCAAGTTAACAGCCTTTTACCTTTAGTACAAATGAAACAAAACACAACTCTGGGTATATTTCTAATGAGAACGTCATAGACTTTATATTAAATTATAACATAAATGTGAAAATAGTGTAATATGGGTCCTTTAAAGTTGATGTTAAAATATGAAATTTAAACACACACTTTATGAACTAATCCAAAACATGATCCATAATGAAGACATGGAAAAAACAAAAAACAAAACCCAAAAACATTCTCCTTAAACAAAAACTGAAAAAAAAGAAAAGAAACTGACTTTAACCCAGTTCAAAAATGTAGTGGAGTAGGACTTGCTCTAAAGCAGTTGCTCTAAATTATTGTGAAGTAAAAGTAGACACACCACAATGTGCTTTAACTAATTATACAGTAAGTAACTAAGTACTTTTCCATATCATTATGTTTCACCACTGAATATAAAAACATTCTAAATACTTTGAAACAAGGACAATTTACTAGGCCTAATCATTTAAAGAGGGGGTATTTTACTTCTATGTGGTAGTAACTGCTAACACATAACATATAAAGATCACCATGTTACCTTTTAATGTTTTGAAAATACTATATAAACAACATGTTTTATAAGGTTAGTATAAGTCTTTGTAAAAAGTAAAAACGGTAAGTCACTCCCCCTTCAGAGCACTATCACAACACAATCAGCATGCATCCTGCTAATGAAAATACTGCACACTGCATCAGATTTGTGAAGTTGTAGCATATCGTTTTGCGTCATGTTTTTGTATATTTATGGAGAATTGTCGTGTGGGAGCATGAGTGACGTAGGCTTGTGGGCGGAGCTTCGTACAGCTAACTGTATAGAGGCTTTGAATAGATTAGATTAGATTAAACTTTATTGTCTATACACATGTATAAATACAAGGTAACATAATGTGATTTCGCATCTAATCAGAAGTGCAACGAGCAGCAAGTGCGATATTTATAAAATGTGGAGTATACACAACATAGACAATATACAGTATATTACAGTGTAGATTATAGTGAATATATACAAATAAATATGTTAGTATGAACAGGTGGGAATGAGGTATAATATACATGGGGGATATACAAGCCGACGTATTGTAAACAATTATAAAGTTTACATGAAAAACTTTACTAGAATATACTATGAACAAATATTCAGGGTACTATAGAAAGTATAAACATGTATGACGTATATAAATGAGCAAAAGATATACATGAACAGGTGCGCTGTAAATAAACAGATATAAAGTGATGTATCAGATGTAATATGAACATGTAAGCATGATACGCAAAGACCCAGAGAATAGGGCCCAGAAGAGATCACTAGATTACTCAGACATGCATGGATGACATCTAAAACAGTCTGAGGCATGTTTTTGGATGAGGGAATGATGTTTGAACATGGCACAACTCTCATAATACCTCCTCTTTAAAACTAAACTCAATTTACTCAAAACCAAAATGAATCTCCAAATATTCTGAATTGCCGCCATTTTGACTCTTGCGTAGATATGTCTTTGTACAGTGACAGTTGAATGTGTTTTTTTTGTGAAATGATACTTCTATTTATTTATTTATTTATTTCTATTTAATATTGTCAGTATCTTTTGCTGCTATTGTCGTTTTTTAGGCATTTGCATAGCCCTGATGCATGATGGACGGTCACAGCCTCGGAAGGTGCACACTCCACTTGTTTTTTATCGTTTTGTTTTCGTAGCTGTTTTGAAAATCATAAATGTAACCGGTATTTTTGAAACGGCTCCGATGTCGCGTTTGGAGTTTTCTATTTTTGATTTCGTGAGTGCGTCCTGTCAGTGTAGAGTGAGGTTTGGTTTTGCATGACTCGTGGTAGCTCCAGAAAAATCATATCATATTTTGGTTGGAGACACAAAAGCAGAAGGAAAACTGAACTCCCACTTTTCAGACTACTATTTAAAAGGTGCACTGTGTAACTTTTCTGGTCACTGCTCAGCCTGGAATGTCATTAAACAGCTCTGCTTTACATTTATTCAATTACAGGTGGTTTTGTAACTCAAAAATACCTGGAAAAACAAGCATTCTGACTGTGAGCGAGGTCGCCTCTCCATAGATCTGACCTGTAACTTAGTCTGGTTTGGTCTCTATGAAGATAGAAAGGTTTAATACCGTACTGTGAAACATTCCAGACAAAACAATAACATCTCCATGGAGAAAAGCATTAGACACAATCACCAGAATAGTTACACAATGCACTTTTGCTAATATTTCTTATGTTTTTCCATTTTGAGGAATTGTATTGATACTTTGAGGTGACAACACACTGGGGGAGTTCTATATGTATCTCTATTGTACGAATGTTACTTACAATGATAACATAATGCACACATTATCAAACACAGACAAAAAAACATTGTTTTTTTGATTGTCTGAAAATTCAAGAAATAAAACACTAACAAAACGACACAACGACAACGACACATTTTCAGGAGCCTGATTCTCTTTAGGTGTTTGGTTTTGGTAGTGACTAACTGATCAAAACACAAAGAAATGTGACTATACTGACTCACATTAGTGCTGAGTGCAGAACTATGTCCCGTAATTACTCATTCGTTTCACAATTTTATTATTACCAACCAACCCAAACTAGGAACGTCCCAGTTTTTTTTTATTCTGAAAGTCTGGTCACCCTATGTTTAACAGTACACATCAACTCGCCTGTTGTAGTTTCAGTTAAGTTCTTTAAGCTCATATTAAAGTCTAACTTGAGTAACAGAGCTTCAGACAGAGCAGAGCTTTCAGTTAGAGACAAATGCTCCAATTATTTCATATTGTCAACATAAAACTTTAGCTGTTTGTAGACTTGCTCACAGCGGGAAGAGGAACCAAAACTTTTCTGTTAGTTCAATAAAAAAATATTACTCACATTGGAGTAGAAGTTTGCTGCTAGGAAAGTAAAGTACAATTTCTTTAAAAAAAATATTATATTATGCTAAATTGACTGTTGAATGTTATTACTTTGTCAAAAAACATAACTGGAGTTGTGTTTTGTTCCATTCACACATTCTCACAGTCATGGAAATCCTGGAAAAGTCATGGAATTTTGTAAATTCATTGAAAGTTTTGGAAAAGTCATGGAATTTTAGTATCTCTTTCACTCAGCTACAGTGTTCTGTTAAGTTCTCATTAGACTATTATGATTATTTCTAAACATCTTCGCCATTTGTTTCAAAGCAACGACAATAAATACACTGACAGTATTTTGAATGTGTGAAAAATCCCTCAGTTGTCCAGCTAGAATCCACGGCAAAGGAGAAATTCAATATGTTCTGCAGCTCATCCAAACTGCTTCTTCAGTTGTGGTCAGACACTGGTGGACACTTCCTTATATCTGTCTGAAGGGAGGAGCTAACTACACTGAAACTACTCTGAAACTAAGGCTACATTCAGACTGCAGGGCTTAACGCTCAATTCCGATTTTTTTGTGAAATCCGATATTTTTGCGAAGTTCACATTTCCAATTAAATGTGACTTGTATGTGAACTACAGTGTGAACATTAAACGTCCTGAAAGTGTCCTGCATGCACACTGGAGGACACGATGAGTTCAACCACAGCGAGTGTGCTCTGTGTTTACGGAAGTTGTCCAAACATGGACGCGAGCATTGAGCACCTGGAGATTTTAAAGTTCCTCTCGTACCAGAGCCAGAACATGAACAACTTACTTGTTTTAAGGAGGAGATTGAGAAGGAGAAGGACGAGGTTTTTGGCCGTGGTGTTTTGTGGGGCAGCGGCAGCGACGTCCATTGAAAGGAACGTGTGGATGTGGAGACGTAGCCAAGAGTGGTGAGTGGTGATGTGCTTCGCTTCAGTGACATGGAGTTCGTTAACAATTTTTGCTGACTTCAGCACAGAATAGTGACGTTTGTGGCTTGTTGATAACGTGTAGGTCGGATGAATGCGCTTTGGCCGTTCAGACTGAAGTCGCATGTCAAAAGATCAGATATGTATCGGTTTCAGGACCACATATCCAAGTGGCCTTGGTCACATTTGAAAAAATTGGATCTGTGTCGTTCAGACTGTCATTAAAAGATCAGATACAGGTCACATAGAGGCCAAAAAAAAATCGGATTTGGGTCACTTCAGGCTGCAGTCTGAACGCAGCCTGACACACCTACTTGTTTATAGTTTCTGTTTATTAGTTAGTCCTATTGAACTGCACTGAGTGTGGGCTCATATTAGCAGAATCATTCAGGGCCATAATAGAGCTTCCACACCTCTGAACCTGACCTGACTACAGCTATTGTTCTTGTTTTTTTGATTTTGGTTTGAGGATGGAGTTGTACATAGGAGATAAATGGTGTCTGAGTCCCCCATTTTTCTTTAGAGATGGATTCTCTTTCTTTTGAATTTTTTAAAATAACTATAATACCAAACCATAAGGTGAGTGGAAAGAGTTAACATTTCAACATTTCAGATTTAGACCTTAAAGTCTGATCAATTCTAGACATGT